TCCTGCCTCAGCCTCCCGAGTAGCTGGGATTACAGGTGCCCACCCCCATGCCCAGCTAAGTTTTGTATTTTTAGTAGAGATGGGGTTTTACCATGTTGGCCAGGCTGGTGTTGAACTCCTGACCTCAGGTGATCTGCCCGCCTTGACCTCCTAGAGTGCTGGGATTACAGGCGTGAGCCCCCGCGCCTGACTTAGTTTGAATGAATTTAAAGGTAAATAGCCTCGTGCGTGTGCCAAGTGGCCCGCAGTGTGGACAGGGCAGGATGGAAGGGGTGCCAGGCGAGGAGAGCTGTGTCCGTGGTGCGTGGGCAGAGGGCACGTGTTAGCTGAGACGTCTGCCAGGCTGGGCGTGGGCAGTGACAATCCCGACCCCACAGGTACTGTCCTGAGTGCCGGAATGATGCTAGCGAGGTGGTGCTGGCGGGAGAGCGGCTGAGAGAGAGCAAGAAGAAGGCGAAGATGGCCTCGGCCACATCGTCCTCGCAGCGGGACTGGGGCAAGGTGAGGCGGGTCCTCCCCACGCGCCCGCGGCTCTTCCCCGCCTGCCAGGGCTCACGCTGTTGTTCTTTGTGTCTGCGCCTGGGACAGGGCATGGCCTGTGTGGGCCGCACCAAGGAATGCACCATCGTCCCGTCCAACCACTACGGACCCATCCCGGGGATCCCCGTGGGCACCATGTGGCGATTCCGAGTCCAGGTACCTGCAGCGTCCCAGGGGTCCAGGGGCCACGCGGGCTCGTCCTGCTTTTCTGGGGGCAGTTTTCTCCTGGCCTCGGCCAGCCAGGGGTCAAGGTGGTTACCAGGTCCCAGCGGTGCCTTGTCTGGCCGCAGAGGGGTATGGAACGTGTGTAGGTTTGGGTTCACTCCTTATTTTACCAGAGACCTGAAATCAATCCTTGGGGGCAGGGGCTGGTGCTCCTCTGCTCGGAGGCACGTAAGGTCATTCCCCAAAGCTCCTGTCCCAGGGAAGGGGTGGCAGCTGCTAAAAGGGACCTGTCTCATCCCTGGTTGTGATCTGTCACTGGGGCAGCTCCCACCTGTGACTGGGCGTTGACAGTGCTGGGTGCTGTCAGCTGTGGGCTGTGTGTCACGGCAGACGAGACACTTTGGCAATAGAGACATTGGAGCCAGGTGGTTCTCTGGGGCGGGGCCATCCTGGGCGCTGCAGGGTGCTGAGCAGCGTCCCTGGCCCCCACCCACTTCACGTCGCCCCAAGTCATGACAACCAGAAACGTCTCCAGACATCTGAGTGTCCCCTGGAAGGCAGAACTGCCCTGGGTGAGACGCTCTGAGCTGGGTGGACAAGCTGGGCCTCCTCATGGAGTTCATGGGGCCAGGCGTGCAGCGGCTAGGAGCTCCTGGGGCAGCACTGCATCTCTAGGGCTCGGCAGCCGGCCAGGGCCCCACGCTCAGGCCAGGGCCTCTCAGGGCATTCTGTGGAGTGAGTGGCAGGCTGGACCTCAACTGGCCCAATGAGGGCCAGCTTTTTTTTTTTTTTTTT